ATCGAGAAGTCTGTTTACCAAAGCATCCTTTTTTTTGTAACTTACAATTCCATGACACCCTACAGAAATAATTTTTCAAAAATAGATCCAAGTTGGCTGTTATCCTGCCTTCCCCTCCTGACTGCTATTAATTCGCTGTCAGCACACAGACACAGCTTCCTCTTGTGATCTGGAAGTTTGTTTTTGTAAAAAGTCCCTGATACAGTCATACTTCCTGCAATGAGTTGTTTTAATACAACATCCTTACTCTTAAGATTTAATTGCAGCTGAAAAAATGTAGTTAATTTACAGTGAATGAAAAAAAAAGCATTTCTTTGAACGACTCTCCAGCTACCTTCTTGGAAGCTCTTTTATTTTTAAATAATATTAAGGACATTTGTAATAGTGACAGTAAGCTAAGAGGTCACATTTCTTAGCTCAGAGTCAACAACTTCTGACTTTTTTTTTTTTTTTAGAAAATAGATAATCTATAACAATTGTAGTAGCTCCATCGGAGTCTCCTTTTCAGGGGGTTCTATCCTTATTTTGAATATTTTGGGGAGTGGGAAGGCTTGGATCCTAGGTAAGACTCGGCCTCGAAGACCATAGTTAGGCTTCCATCGGGAAGCAGGAGCTGCTAAGCAGAACCCTCGGTGATGGACTTTTACGCTGACTCCTTCATCGTTGGCTTGACCCATCCAGTGCTGGTCAGGACCACAAAACCCTTGGCTTGATTGGGAATGAGGGCTCCGGCACACCATGTGGGGCTTTGAGCCCATCAGTTGTACGAAAACCTCAGCTTCCAAAAGCAGGGACACGCGTTTTCCCTCTCCCACAGTTTGGGGGTAGGTGGATTCGTGCTCTAAGGTTGGCAGAGTTAGCAAATAAATAGATAAGACATCCAGTTATGTTTGAAGGCTTCTTTTTTTCTAATTGCCTATGCAGTTTTGTGATTTATTGATAAAAATGAATACGGGGCATCTAGGACATCTGAAAGTCCATACAGAATGCAGGACAAAAATCGCTATGGACAAGACATGTCCTGGTACGCAGCAGGCCAGATGTTCCCGGTGCTGGGATTCTATTCAGAGTTACATGACCTTTACATACATGTATGACATCTTCGGCTCTCGGGAGCATGTATCAATGATGTCCGTAACTTACAGGATCGCTTCTTGTCATTTTATTAGGAATTAACTGTCAACTCCACTCCAGAGCTTTTTCTTCATCTTCTATTTTTACACACCAGCAACATAGCAATTGAAAAACAAAAATTCCTGTCCCCAATTCTGGGGCATCTAATCGTCCACAAATTGCGAGTTTGGATTATTTTTAACCCACAGGATGATCAGGCTCGAAGGACTGGACAGCTGGGGTGACGAACAGCCAACCAAGCCGCTATCCGCTGGGAGGGGACTGGGTCCCCCAGGAGAACCGATGGGAAGAGAGGGGAGGGAAAGAGCCGACGCTTGTTGCTGCCTCGCGTTTCTTTCTCAGTAAGCGTTTAGTGGGAAAACTTTGGGGAAAAGAAGTGGACGTGCTCCATTCGTGTCTCTTAAACACTAGGAAAGTAGTTTCCCCCGGGGAAGCCAGAAATGACACCGCCTGCCGCACTGGCGGACGAGGGGCCACGTTGCCCCTCAAAGACGCTCTTCGGCCCCGGGAGAAGAGCTAACGTAACAGCCAGTCCATCAACGACCAGCTTCTAATTTTTATACTGTTTTTACTGCCTTCCTGACTCTGGAGGCAAAGATTTTTGTTTTAGATTCTTTAAAAAAAAAAAATCAAAACCACGTAACAACAACAAGAGTTCACTGACAAATAACAAGGCCTCGAGAAGTTAACTCTTTGATTCTCTGAAACCCCAGTTAAGTTCTAATCACACCCTCCCACTGCAAATGCTAACTCTGGAGACTCAGCTCTGCTCTCAGACGCCTGTACCTGAGAGCAGATGCCCACCACTCGCTTGTGGCCCACGGGCTGAAGGTGCGGTTGGCAGGCGGGTCATTCTGATTGAAGATCCACTGAAATCCACAAAGGGCAAGTGGTAGGCAGGTAACCCATTAAAAGTGAAAGGTTACGCTTGGAGGAAAATTCGGTGCGCCTTGGCCCTCTCCAGGGTCGAAGGCTGGAATTCGAGTGCGCACTACAGAACTTGGAAACCGAGACTTGAAATGCTAATGTCTTTCTTTAAAATATCCCATCCCACAGAGCTATAAGACAACCTGGATTCAAAACTAGTTATTTCCAATGTTTAACAGGCAAAGAAAAGCTGAGATTGAGAGACTGGAAGTCTTCCTTGCACCACATGGTCCAATGTCTGACCCTTAGACCATAGTGACAGAACAGAAGGAAGACCGAGGATGAGGGGACCCTTCCTGAGCTACCAGTGCACAGACTCTGTGCCTCCTTCGCTTTGCTTTTCTGCTGTCCTTTCTCCAGATCATACATGAGTACTGAGGGTCTCAGTAAGGGAGAAAGTGTCCTGCTGTGATAGAAATGTCACATGTTCAGACACCTTCATTTACATTTCAATGATATCCAAGTCACAGTCGATCAAAATTGAAAATTTAATTCAAAGGGTTGCTTAAATGCATCTAAATATCTGGTCCACTCATTGATGGCATTTCCCCCTTTTAACTAGTGATTTTCAGTTTCTGGGGTCTCCTCTCCGTGCTGAAACATCTCCACGAGCAGGGAAGGAAACCCATGAGTGCCTCCACCCCCACCCAAAGGTGGCCCCCTGTGAGGATCAGTGAATGAATCTTCGCTATGCATCTGGGGCCACCGGCTGCTGGGTACCAGGTAAGTACCATGCATTTTATTACTGGAATAGGACACGGCTTTGTGGTTTCTCGGATGCAACACGGCATTCTTGAATGGCCTCGCTGTGAAGACCTGTGCTTTGGAGATACTTCAAAACACAAAAGCCATTTCGGGTCAAAAACACTCCATTAGTTGGACTTCTTCTTAGTTGGTGGTTGAGCATGAATCTGTCTCGGTCAGAAGACTGTCCACAGAGAACCAGTTTGCCACATGAATCCTTTCTTGTTAGCGTGTCAACATGAGAATATTTTGTACGAAGTAATAATAAGTAAGTGCCTGGAAGACGCTGTTTCCAACCAGCCACAACTTTAGTCTATGAATGAAGAATTAACGCTGTAAAATGAATTACGGACTTACACAAGTATTGGATTTTAAGACCTCACATTTATTTTGTGTGTAGTACAAAAGATCGCATGATCTAGTCTTCCAAATTTGGCAGAAATGTGTGCGCTAAGTGAACATAAAAAAGATTTCTCAATCTGGTGCTCCATCATTGTACCACATACAATATGAGTACGTAAGATTCCTAATGCTGATCACATAAAAATGAACATCAATGGAAGTGCAGGGAGAAGAATTCACGAGTGCGACAGAAAATCTGTAGCATGCCTGTGGCGGTGTTTTTCTGTTGATTATACATAGTATATAATAAAAAAATTACGTATAACAACTACAAGGGATACAACTAACTACACGTAATTCTTTAAGATCTAAAACAACCTGCCATAAAATTATCAACAGAAAAAAACTTCCTGAATAATTAAAGACAAAAACCTCTTGTGCATTGAGATTGTTTTTTGAACCTTTACGATTTTACCGCCATTATGCCGACCCCTGCATTCGATGGTTGGTTTCAGGTTGGAGGTGTTAGCCGTATCTTCTGTGTACTGAAGGACATTTGAAATGTGCTAACATCAGGAGGTGGCCAGCCCTGCTGTAGCCCACAGCATCCGGGTTACTTTCCCCTTTCCTCTGAGTCCCGATGTTCCCAATCTTACAGGACAAACTAAAAGTGAGCGTATTTACGGGGAATTTGCTCTTTTAATTGCAAATGTCATTCATTGATAATGTTCACAATTAGGCTTCAAGAACCTAGGTGTATGTCCCTCTGTGTGAACTGTGTGCCTGCATGTGTGTATGCCTGCCTGTGTGTGCCTGTGGGCTCACATGTATGTCCATGTAGCACCTACACATGTACAGTCACATTCTTCTTGAGTGAATATGTAAATCCATCTCGTTTTGAGTGAAATGATAATTCACCTTTTGCACATTTAGCCAATCCGAGCCCCATTTATTCTCTGCCCCCAAAGAATGCAGGGTGCTTGGTCCCCACATTCTGCCAAAGGTAAAAATGTTACTTTGTAACACTGAGTTGCACAGGATTTGTTTAAATACTGAGGACATTCTTGACATGTTATTAGATTATCAAATTTTGTTCACGCTTCAAGGAGTCATCTGTGTACGATTTACCGATCCTCAGTAACTTGTTATTCGTAGCCCCATCCCACCTTCTAGGTTTCAACACCTGAGCACATTTCTCATCGTTACACAGATGGATTTTTCTTTGGTTCTAACTATCATCAACAACCATGTACTTAGCACAAAGGAGACGGCCATTGCTCGCAAGGGTTTTATTTTGCTCAGAAATTCAGTGGCACTTCCCCTGTGGACGAGGTGTTTTAATAGGTAAGAAGTGGCTGAAAGGAAACTTGGTCCATAATAAAGAACCGAAGGAAGGATGGGCCTGGAGGCCACGTGGACATGAGACCGACCCACAGAGTCCCATGGCTTCAGAGGTTACTTTGAACACACTGCCCGGAGAGGAGCCCTTCAAACTCAGCTGCAGCAGAGTCGCGGGGGCTCTCGTTAAGCTGCAGACTGATTCTCTACGTGGGGTGGGGACTGAGCCTCTTCGCTGCTAATGGGCTCCTCACGGGCTGATGCTACTGGTCTGGGAGCCACATTTTGAATAGAAAGGCCTAGTACATTCCAACAAAAACTTAGTGTGAACAACAGCCCCATTTGCATATGTGTTCACAACGGTCAATTTCTGATTGATCAATTTCCCTCTACCCAATTAAATCCACCGAAAAAAGGTGAAAATGGAATTATTCTATTTTGTGAGTACAGAATTTCCCCACTCCATTTCTGTATTACCAGATAGCCTCCAGTCAATACCATATTTTCTCTGCCTGAAAAAAAAAAAAGTGTTTTAAAGCCATGATGTAAGTGAACACTGAACCACATTTCAAGTCTCGGCCATAATGTCTTTGCTACTTGCATTGAATAAATACCTTATATTACAGCTGATATCCTTATATAGAAATGTATTTCCTTTCACTGTCAGCATTGCTAAATGTCTCTGGCCACCCAGCAGGACATGTTTGCAACTGTCCTACACCAAGGTCTTCAAAATGTAGCCCCATTTTGGAAAATGAGAATTTTGAGTTTGCTTCAGACAAAGCATTGCAACCAGGAACCCCGTCAAAGGTGGAGATGCTTGTCTAGCCCCAGGACCAGAGGAGCAGGTGGATCTTGCACGTCTGCAGGGTGCTCAGGGTGGGTCCACGGTGGTTGTTCGAAGGGAGCTCGGCCGTGGCAAGAACTGCAGAGGGAAACCGAGGCTGCGGTTTCTCAGACATTGCTCTGTTGCAACAACAGGCTGCGCAGCTCTCTTTCCCGCTGTTCCTCCTGCCTGTACTTCTCCTCCAGTTTCTGCTTCTCGGAATCCGCGCAGTAAAACGTGCAGTCGGCGCTCTTGCGGATCTGCTCGAACTGACTGAAGTCAGCCACGTACTTCCCGTTTTTGGACAGAGAGACCACAGGCACAAACTCGAAGCCCCAGTAGATCTCCTCCGGGATGTAAGACGTGCGGCTCTGGCAGACGGCGCTGGTGGATTCCACGGTGGCGTTGAGGAGCACCACAAGTTCAAAGTCTTTCTCTTTCAGGTTTTGGGGTGTGAGATCCCTCAGGGGGCTGGTCTCATCCAGCACGTGGTAGAATGTCAAGGGCAGGATGAGGAAGGGGCTCTCCGAAGACGAGTCCACGTGGAACTTGACGCTGGCTTGGTTGAGGAGGATCCGCTCGCCCTCCTTGGTGACATGGGTCTGGAGGAGCTTGCCAGAAAGCTGGCACTGAATCAGGAGACTCTTCCTCATGTTGGCCACCTGGATCACCAGGCACAGCTTCCCGTTCTGCTTGGTGATGACAGCGCAGTGGCTGAACTTGATGGTCTCCGCCCGCTTTTTGGGTCTGGCGATTTTGGCCAGGAAAGTGCCCGTGATGAAGATCTCAATCAAGGTCGTGATGACCAGCTGAGCAACCAACAAGAAAATGGCATGAGGGCATTCCTCCGTGATGGAGCGGACGCCGTAGCCAATGGTCGTCTGGGACTCCAGGGAGAAGAGAAAGGCCCCGGTGAGGGAATCCACCTTCAGGATGCAGGGGGTGTGGTTGGAAACAGGCTCACTCGGATCCAAGTCCCCGTGGATGAACGCGATGGCATAGTAGATCACTCCGAAAAGGAACCAGGTCATCACGAACGTGGCGGCAAACAGGGTGAGTTTGTATCTCCACTTCATGTCAATCACTGTCGTCCACAGGTCTTGAAGGTAGAGTAGGTATATGCCGTCCACTTTGTCGATCCTCACGTTGCTGTGTCCACTCTTGGACATGACACGAGGTCTGTGGGTCTTGAGCCCAGCTCCCGCTGTGTGCTTCACCAGGGGAGCGCTGGACATGCCAAGGTGAATTGGGTCCATTGTCAGCCTCTTGGGACCTCCTTAGGAAGTGAAATAGAGAGACGTGTTATTCTGTCACAGGTGGTAGAACGTGCAGAAAATAGAAAGAGGATAAACGTGTGAAGTAAGTAGGAATGCATATAGAGTTATACAAGAAAGGAGACTTCTGAGGCAAGATGGATCAACTTGAACTTGAGGAAGTGAGGAGCAGAGACCCCGAAGACAAGCAAACCTGGATTCAATGCTGACTCTCCAATTTCTTTGCTGTGTGAGCCAGGACAAACTACTTACCCTCTCTGGACCTCAGCTCTCTACTCTGTAAAATGAGAATAAAGCCTGCTCCTCAGGGTTTTGTGATGGTGAAATGAGATAATGGCTACAAAGCGCAGAAACGGAGCCTCATGGTGAAAAAATGACGCTAATCTTCCCTTTGTGATATTACATCCACACGCATCTACTCCGCAGAGTACTGTGAATTGTTATTCGCCTTCAGCTATCATAGATTTCTAGTATAGAAAGTTTTAAAGTAAGTTGACTGAGCATAGAGTCAGTATGGATATAACTAAAACTTACCATCCATAGATCTTGATAAGCGATGAAGACTAGTACAAAATTTTAAAACTTGGGTAGTGTTAACAAAAAATTTTAAAACTTACCCTTTTGCATGACATTTCCGATACTAGCAATTTATCTCCCCCCACCCAATCTAATGAATAGCTAATCCACCACCTCTCCTAGTCTTGATTACATTGGAAAAGGCTAAGTCATCAAAAGCCGAAAACAAACACATAGTGAATAATTAAGCTTGATTAATGGCTTAATCGATATGCTGGTTAATCTTATAAGTGCTATCAGCATACCACATTAAGTATGGCATTTCAGTACAGCACACACATTCTGTCTTACGTCTTTGGAATCGAGTAGAGCCAGCATAGGAATGTTTGAAAGAGAGAATAAACAATAAACAAGTGCAGGCATCAGACAGTGTAGCGGAGCAGACCTACCAGGAAGAAGGGATGGGGTCCCACGCTGGTTCACAGACAGGGACAAGCTGGGTCCCTGTATCTTATCACCCAGCATCTTATGGTACCTGCCTGGTGACTGAGCTAAGTCACCCCCCACATTCCTTGAAAAGATCATGGGAGTGATTAGGGGAAACTATCTGGTTGGCACGTTCTTTCCCCACCTTGTTGGCATTTGAGAAAGTAAAAAGCAGCCCCCCATAAACAGGCATGGGCGCAGTGGGCGCGATCGTGCCGTCATCTTCGCTGGTAGGGCAACACTTCCTCAACAGGGGTTTGAAAAGAATCCTCTGGGCAAATCCCTTCGAGGAAAGTGAAACGCTCCCATCACAGCCTGGCACCTGCGAAGCCCAGGACCCGTTGGGCTCTTCAGTTCCCGGTTCCATTAGCAACAGTGGGTCATTTCCTGAATGTCTCCTGAAATGATCTTTTTTTTTTCTTTCTTGGAAAGGACAATGACTTTCCTTTCATTGCAAAGAAGGGCGATAAGTTACTCCAAATTCATTTTACCCATTGAAGCCTAGTCACTTATTATGGGATCAATTTAAAAGCAAAGTACAGGGTATAACTGATGAGCTTGGGTCTTATCAGAGCCCCGGCAGCACCTCTCAGTGACCGGGAGGAAAGAGACCATGATGCTGGGGTGGGAACGACGCCACGCTGCCGTGCCCAGGGCAGAGTCCAGCTCAGAACGCCAGCCCTGCAAAACGCAAGGGACTGCGTGCCCTTCAGAAACAACCAGCCTGCCAGGGACAGTGCATGCCATTCCATCCACCGAATAAACACGGAGGCTTAGGTTTTCAACTGAGTGGTACACAGTGTCCTGCGGGCACCAGCTCCGGGGGGCCTCGGCCCTGGGTACCTGAGGGCAGCGCACGTGGCTCCTGCTCTAACCTCTCTCCAAGGGCAGCGGGCCAGCTCGGGATGAGCTGGACCCGGGTCCTTCTGTGCTTCTGCACATCTGGTGTTCCGGTCCACGACACCGGCAGCGCCTCCCATCAGGGTCTGGTAACTGTGCTTGGGGGAAGAGGCGCAGGGCCTCTGGGCAGGTCTTGGGTTTAGCGTCTCTCTCCGCAAAAGAGTGGCCGGTGGACAGCACCCAAAGGGTAAACTTCGTCCCCCCCTCAGCACCCTGGGCCTTCGGACCCGTTTCCTACGTGGTCACTTACTCAGCAGGTCAGAAGCCGTCTTCTTCAAGGCGGGCGCACCGTCCTGGCTCCCCTTCGCCCACCTGGCTACCATGGGCTCCTGCTACTGCCTGGAAGGAAGAGGGACAGGGATTCACAGGTGTTTACAAAGAAGCTGACCCGGTGAAACTGACCCTTAACAACTCCCCCAAGGGCTGGGCCCAGCATGCATTTCCAATCCCTGGTATCTGGCGTGGTGCCAGGGGGAGGGCTCAAGGGGTATTTTAAGGATTAAATTGAAGCCCCAGTCACAGCTTCCCCAGGGAGTCCTCACCCTCTGGAGGGAGCTCAACCGTCAAGCCCCCTGGAAAGAGGGTGATCTCGCCCACTGAGGCCCACCGTCAACTGGCCAGCACACAGGAGGCAGGAAGGGGAAGCGCGCAGGAAGTAAACAGTGAGGACTGCAAGGGAAGAGTCTAGAATATTTTTACCGCCTGTGGAAACGCATTATTATTGTTGAGTCATAGAACATTAGAGTTGAAAGGATTGTCAAAACCAGGGCATCTGCCACACAGTTTTCAAACGAGGTGGCTGAGACCTGGGCGGTCGGAGCAACTCGTCTTCCTCACGCAGGTGGATCATGGCAGAAAGAACGAGGCCGGAGTTCTTAAACCTGATCCCCTAGAGCTTAATGTAATCTGCTGCAGTCAACAGGTTATTTTACATCCTGCTTTTCTGAAACACTTCTTCCTAGACTACACACACACACACACACGCGCACACACACACACGCACACACACACGCACACACACACATGCACACACACACACGCACACACACACGCCGACACGTATTTTTATCTGTCACACACAAAGAAGCATACATACACTTCACACTTCTTTTCTAATCCACCAGTGATTGTAAATAATTGCAATAATGACTCTTTTATCATTTAAGTAGTTCCATTCATTACCCGGTTTAGCCTCTTCTCCACTCCGCTCTCCCAGGGTGTTGGTCTGTTTGGCCAATGGCCTCTTTCTTCATCAGCGGTGGGTCGGGATCCAGCTTCAACCTGACTCGTAAGCCTGCTCAGGGCTAACACTGCATCATGCGCTCTGAATTCATGGTATTTTATTCCCCGGCAGATTTCTTTGATGAAATTTACGTCTTGTTGATGGACACTCTTATTCCATTTACTTTTATGTTCCTGCCTATTTTCCCTTGGTGATTCTGCAACCTACCTGGCTTCGCTCCTAAAAGGTTAAGGAGAACTAACAGTCTACCAACAGCTAAGGATGGAAGTCGATAAGAGATACTCTCTGCTCATGTCCCCTCTCCTGATCCCACAAATCAGCAAAATTCCATACAAACCAAGAGTTGTTTTCTTTAGACTCTGGAAATTGTAATTATTTCTCCAGTTTGCATTATATTGTTCCAACATGTGGGTTGGGATTGTAATTCTTAGAATTGTGAGATCTGATTTATTTGTTTTTTGTTAATCCTCACTGGGGGATATTTTTCTATTGATTTTTAGATAGAGTGAAAGAGAGGGAAGGAGACACACACACACACACACACACACACACACACACACTCCGATTGGTTACCTCCAGCATGACCCTGTCCGGGGCTGGGGAACCTGCAACCCAGGTATGTGCCCTCAACTGGAGTCGAACCCATGACCCTTCAGTCCACGGGCCGATGCTCTAACCGCTGAGCCAAACTGGCCAGAGAAAAATTGCCATCTCTTTACTAGTCTGTGAAACTATTGAATGGAGAGGTCAATATCACATCCTCTTACTTCAAGCCAACAAAATGGACACGCATGAAGCCAGGTGACGCCCACGCGGTGCAGCGCTGGTTCTCTGGAGGTAAAGGAGGGGGAAGCACACGTCGGAAACGGAACTAACAGTAGGCACGGACAAAAGGTCATAGATCTGGGAAGAACCACACTCCCGGTGCTGAGGACAAAGCAATGGGGAAATGAAAAGCAGGTTCCCGTCACCATTCCTGGGGGGAAAGCGATCAGCTTTCCGGAGAGAAGAGGCGTCGTCAGAATGGATGGCCCAGGAAACCAACCAGAGCAAGCGGGACACACGGCCCTGTCCGGGAGACGCCCACCTGCAGACGGCCGGTCAGAAGAAAGCCAGATGCAGATACGAGCGTGAACGTCGGCGGAGCACAGCCAGAAGTGGTCCAAAGCCGGAAAGATGCCGACGAATAATCACAACGGCAATAATAAAATAACAGAATAACGACTCAAACGAGTAATCACAATAAAGCTCCAGACCAATACCAATCGCCATCCTCATAAATAGATGGCGCCAAAGGCCATACGCCAGCCAACCTTGGGAGGCAAGTGCCCTTGTCCCCCAGGAGGAGGGAACTGAGGCACAGACAGGCTAAGTGACTCACCCAAAATCTCAGCAGCTGGCACGTGACAGCAGAGTCCCCAGGAGGCTCCTGAGCCATGCTCGCCACCGCCTCACACAGGTGCTCAGGCTTAGTGGCGTCAGAACTACCCGGGAGGTCAGAGCTCTGATTCGGTCAGTCTGGGGTGGAGCCCGGGAATCTGCATGCCTGACCAGTTCCCAGGTGATGCTGCAGCTCTAAGAACACAGTCGGGAACCGCCACGCGTTGACATAGAGGTTAGAGGGTACCAGCGGCTCAGCCCCACCCCCGCCTCCCCTTAGCCTTCTCAAGCAACACTGTTGCACACAGGCATTGCAAACATCTGTTTATTTGTTTTCAGACTGTCCAATCTATACCATCTTTACAGGTGAATGCCAACTACCCAGTGGACCAATGCCAAGTATTAACTTTTTAAGAGCATTCAATTTTTTTTTTTTTTTTCTAGTTAGTACAACGTTGATACCTTCTAAAAACCTAGAGCTCGGCCGAGTCACATTTTGGAAGTGTTCAGTTTGCCCGTCCTGGGAAAGCTTCATCCTGTGTTCCACGGCGAGCGGATGAAGTCTTTGCTCTCATAGAAAACTAACTAATAGGAACTTGAGGAGTCGGTGGTTCCCGATCCTAGACTGTCTCAGGCCTCAGGTGAAGTCACCCCCTTCGACGGGATTCGGGTTATGGAGGGATGAAATCCAGACTGGAGCGTGACTTCGGGTTTCCGGGCTAAAACTAGAATTTGAGGAGATTTGACTTTCAGCTCTAGCAAAACAGCTTCCTGTTTGTCAGAAAAGTTGCTCCGAAAGCTTTCTTGGATGTCAAATATTTCTGACGAAACAATTTTTTGGTGATCTTTTTTTTGGCTATGAATCCAAACTGCCAGGATTACATTTCACTTTAAAGATACGCAGGTTTAAATATTAAGTAGAAAAAACAAACGCTCGACAAGAATGTGCTTGGGGTTCATTGAACTCAGACGGCTGAAAAGTAATTGAAAATGAAGTCAGTGAGGCTTAGCCACCCTTCCTGTGGATCCTGTGGCCATTGCACGGACCCCGCCGGGGGCCTCCCGCCGCGGGCCTCGCTCCCCAAGCCGTCCAGGACTTGCTGGTCTGACTTCTGAGTCCACGTCTTGATTTCACCCATGTCAGCTGAGGACGCGGGTGGCTTTGCCCTGGAGCCTCAGAGACGAGCATGCTCACTGAGAAAGAATGAGTTGGCCGAAGTTGACTCTCTGCAGATGTCAAAGGGCGGCCCCTTGGTTCTTATCTGCTGGGGAAATTCCTCTTTCCTCCTGCAAACCCATTTCTTCCCTGGGGCCCGGGAGGCCTGGGGATGGCTGGAGGCATGACAGCCTCTGGGAGGCTGTGGAATCGGGCAGCGTTCTCCGTGGGAATCACACTGACGGAGGGGAAACACCAGCTGGGATTGTGGCAAATTCATGACCTGGTTTCCTGTGTCCTAATGATGCATGTTTTAAAGATATGAACTGAGATCTAACTGGTAGAGCTGGTCCTTGTTATCATTGTCCATTGTTTGCGGCTGCCAGCGACTGGCCACCAGCTCTGCTGGGTCTGTCCAGAGCACCCCTCCTGGGCTTGCCCCTGTGGGGGCGTGTGTTCCACCTCTTATGTCCCATGTGGTCATGTGACTGGAGTGTGGGCCTTGGTGACTCACGCCACGCCTGGGCAGAGGCATATGGCAGGCTTGGGCGCGGCTCCGGGTGGGCTGCTCCTTCTGGGGGGAGGGGGGGACCCTGGAGCCCAGCTGCAGATGAACCGAAGCTGACTTGTGACACAGGTGAGGAAAAATTCCTGTTGCTGTGAGCCCTTGAATTCCTGGAATTGTCTGTCACCCAGACAAAACCTGGCGCAAGCCGGACCACAGACACACCCTTTCTACACGTTTCTGTACCTTACGAGGAGGTGCTGTGTTTACAGGACACAGGGAAAGCCTTCCCCATCCTTCATGTGAACTCAACGCTGTTCTGTGACCAAACACAGACTAGGAAACAATTCAAATGAACGAGATTCCAACAGGAAGAAGGAGAACACAGAAAAGAAGTGAAAAGTTGAATAATTTTCCTCATTAAAAAACTCTCAGTCAGTATTTAAGTTTATCTTGCCGAGACGACTTCTCGGGGCCAGGTGTCCGGGCCGTAGATCGCGCCCCTCCCGTGCTGTGTGTGACCAGAAGCCTTCGGTTAGGTTCGCGGTGGCCTCCGGGTCTGCGAGGACAGACACGGGGCGCTTCTGGGGCACCCTCAGCCGTGGCTCCCATTGAGAAGGGCGTACCAGACGCTCTGCAAGGCGGCGGCAGGCAGTGTTCTGTTTAACCCTTCTTTCCCTGTAAAGAACGTGTTTTCTCGGCTTTCTAGATGAAAGCTCAGAGACTAGATCATTCACACACGTTCATAAAGTTCATCTGTGGAGGACACGCTGGCGAGCCAGACCCACCTGTCCCCATCGCAGTGCCCCATCAACCGCTGTCCTGAGACGTGCTCCCGGAGGGCACCCCTTCTCCCTGCACGCAGTGCAGCCAAGGGAGGCCCTGCTCGTGCGTGTCGGCACTGCGCCGTGAAGGTGGACCTGTAATGTGCCGGTCCGTGTGCCACCTTAGTGCTCACACCGGTTCTGGAAGACACTCTGCTATGGCTCCGGGTTCCAGGCGAGGGAGCTGAGGGAGCACAGCGTGAATCCGCAGTCGGGGCTTCTCGCCTCATCTGAGTTCGGAGGCATTTACCTGGAGGTCTTGAAACGCACGTGGCTGGGCGTCACCGTGAGTTTCTGCATTTCTAAGGAGTCCCCAGGTGGCGCTGATGCCGCCAGTCTGGAGACCACACTGCGCGACCGTGAGCTACACTCCTCGCGGCTTAGTGAATGATCGAGACCACGTGGGACATTCACAAGCACGTAACCTGGGTGGTTTAGGAGTTCAGACACACTACCTTGAAACAAAGGAGAAGGAACAGCAGGTTCATGGCGTTGGAGAGACAGATTGGGTAGCTGCCAGGTGGCGTTTCCAAGTAGCCAGGAGACATATCCTGGGGGATAGAAGTTCAGGCATACAGGCATGGGGGAAAAATGAGAATTTCTGCGAAAAGGAAAGCAATCGGCTGAAAATTGCTCTGCAGTTTCCTCTGGGATAGTGGGAACCATCGGAGAAAACAGGGGAGGCCCGAGGAGAAAGCCCAGACAGAAATGCAGCCGGAAGGACCTTAGCGTCCTTGCTCAGGCTCCCCAAGTGTGGGGTATTACAGGTGTTCCCCAAATAAAGTGACTTGTGGGAAACTTTACCTACCAAACCTCTAAACACTCCACCGTCTGCACCCACTGGAGATTCATGCCCCACGTTTGTACAATACAGGCTCTGAGAAGTCCTGCAGCACAGACAGCCGCTTGACTACATCAGGCATTTACCTGACTTGTGGGGGACTATGAAGAGTACCAATCATGTGTAAACTGCACTTTATATCTGGGGAAAAGGTTGATCAAAAAGAGAGTGATTTGTTCAAAGTCGCCGGGCAAGGTTGATCCACTGTTTAGGCAGACACCCCTCTTGTTGTCGTGAACTCTGCTGAGATGAGCTGTCCGTCTCCCTGGACACTGGAGGCAGGGCGGCGTCAGCATCACTTGGATCCGTTAGAAATGCCAGTTCTCAGGCCCCGCACTTGCGCTACTGGATCACAATCTCCCAGTGCTGCCCAAGAACCTGTCTTACCAGGAACCCAGCTTCCCAAAGGCTCCCGTGGCGAGGGCGGGGGGGGCGGTGGGGGCGCCTGGGGAGGCTGGTGGGCAGGGGGCGGCGGGTGCACGGGGGTGGGGGGGGCGGCGGGGGCGCCCGGGGTGGCTGGTGCGCTGGCGAGTCTTTCGTTTGCCCTGTGCCTCACTGGAAGAGCGGCCAGCGCCGCTGTAAAACAAACCCCACATTCTGCATTGCATGGGAGCGTCTAATGATCCAATTTGCCTCTGTGGTCAGATATTTAGCCCTTTTCCCGTGTTTCCATTCCACTATTATTGTTTTGAATTCCATAAGTCCTGAAAAGTCCCTTTCCATCTCTGAATGTGGTTTGCATAGTTATACCCTTCACTCCTCAGTGCGGACTCTTTTTTAACTTTTTTCATTCCGTAGAACGTCAACCCTCTCCGCTCGGCAGAGACAAGTCTCCACAGACACAGGGCTCCTCGGAGACTCGTTCTCCGGGGCAGAGAATCTGAGCGCCGGGCTAAGTCAGAGGTATCATTTGCTGAATATTTTTGTAAAGACAGTTTAATTTCAGGCCCTTTATTTGCGAGAGAGTTGGCTAACCCAAATAAAACATTATACATCTGTCTGTTGTTACGAGTGACCAACTTCAGCTGAACGTTATTACTTAATAGCAGCGAACTTTCCTATAGAGCAGGAATGTGTAGCAGCTGAAGGGCAAATGGAAATTTCCTCTGGTTTACCACCCTCGGTGGCTCCCTGCTCCAACATGTGAGAAACGAGGTAATAGCATATTCTCCCCTCTAATCACAGCGTGGCTTGGATGTGCACGGCGGAGGGGGGACTGGGGAGACTTGTGTCGGGAAAAGCGCGGGCGGACGGGCTGCGTGAGCCTCAGCGTGCACTGCCTGGTCCTCTGGGGGGCGGGGGGTGTCCTGAACGGGCTCGGGGAGGCTTGTCTGCACGCTTTCCCAGGCAGCACAGAGAAGGTAGCTCGCACCGTCCTGTTTCGAGACCTGGAAGGAAACGCAGAGCGTCCGAGCTGGTCTGATGTCACCTGGAATAAGTCAGAACGGAAGGCGTGTCTTCGCAGGCAGACCCCGTAGAGAGGATGTTACTTAGTGTCTGCTACTTCTTGACACTTCAAGCGGGTCTCAGGTGGAGAGTTAGAAAAGGGAGAAAACGGGATGTTGTTCCCTCTCACCCTCGTTGCACTGGGAAGGCGCTCGAGTGGATCACTGATGTTTTTACAAGGCATCGTCAGAGACTCTGCGACATCTCCGATCGATTTCCCCCCAGATAACCTCTCCCGCACGAAGACAGCGAGCGCACCACCTTTAACCACCCACATATTCTGTCTCGTATGTATAATACTTTCTACGATGGTGAAGGCATCAGAATATAGAAAGAGAATGACATGAGGAATATACATACCGACTTCAGGCTGGCTTGCTATCCGGCTTCGAGCTGACTGCTTTTCCTTCTGTGTGAAGTGAATTTGGAACTGCTGGTCTGTACTGATGGATGATTAATGGGCTTCGGTGAGCTTCACCTGGATCCGAGGGTGGAATGCTTCTCCTTGGTGATTTCCATGCGCGTTATTACCACCATTGGAATCTCATCCCAGAAAAAGGAAATTATGACTTTTGCTTGATTTGGAACCAAGTTATTTATTTAACAATGGGACGCGTGTCAAAGGGTTTTGAAATTCAGTTTCACTGTCAGTCTAAACTCTGACCACATTTCTCTGATACAGAAACTGGAGATCACAGGGTCTCAGGGGAACGCAGCTAATACCCGCATTCTTGGATTGTGGTCAATGTACTTTAAGGACTGGCAGTATTTCTGAGTTGTCTGCTTATCCCAAAGTTGAAAACATAGATGCCTGTGATCGCTGAGTGATACTAAGAACATTTCAAACTTCAAAATACTTCCCTTCATCATCCATCAAAGTCTGAGACCTTTGGGAGAACCTATATCCATCGGTAAACAGTGTACGAAGACACGTTCTAACCATCTGTGGTTAATTAGCTCAAGGATCATTGGCCCAATCTTGGTGTTTTTAGGGTTGCCAGGTAAAATATAAGATGCCCAACTGAAACTAAACTTCAGATGGACAACGAATTATTTACTACCAGCATGTCCCGTGCAGCAAGTGACATAAACGCATCCTAAAAACTATCCATTGTTTGTCTGAAATTCATCTGGAGGTACTCTATAGTACAAAGGAGTCCTGTGTTTTCATGTGCTGAATCTGGTATCCCTAGGGAAGAGCAAATTTATGCCTTCACTCAGAAGGCCAAAACACTGAAAGACCAAGTTTAATATACAGACCACATTCTTAGAAGACCAGCAACCCAGATTTTGTCAGTGCTGGGAACCTGAAAACAAAGAGAGCCACTGTGGGGTGCGGGGCAGCCTCTCTGCTCCCAGGGCCCCCCCCCCCCCCGTGTCAGAAAGCCCGTTAGCTGGTCTCATTTTAGCATTTTAGCTTAGGGCACAACCATTTTTGCCTTACAGTCTTTCTTGGCAGACTGGTAATGCGTTTGATTGGCTCCTTAGAATGTGTTTGAATAGATAAAAACGAAACAACTATGATGACAGAAGACACCAGTCATGTTACAACGCACTCATTAAACTCTTTAAAAACCAAAACCGCTTCTTTCCCAGCATCCCTTGGAAGAGCTGGCGCTGTGGAGGGCGGCGAGCGAGATGCTGAGACCCCGGAACGCAATGCGGGGCGAAGCACCACCACACTCGCTGTGAAGAGGTGACTGAGGAAAACCGGTCCTGTCGTTCCCTGTCCGAGGTCCCGGGCCCTCCCCGAATTCCTGATCCCGCAGGCCCCGCGGCCCTGGGGTTAAAGGCTGCTGGGAAGGAGGCTCCTGCATGCGTCACCCCGAGACCCGCACAGAAAGCAGCCAACCTACTGAGTCCTTCGTGATCCATTTCCCCAGGGACACTCCCTTGACATTTCAGCCATCAGCCTAGCAGATACTGTTTCTTCTGTCAGCAGAGGGGACCCTTCACCACGAGGCGCACAGCTGACGTTCTCCTCCGGACCATCACCGGGCCAGAGTGAGCAGCGGCCATCGCCCTGGCCCACGGCCTTGCCCTGGGGACACATCCCAGCACCCCCCACTCGGGAAATCACAGCGCAGCTTCTCTGACAGGAAACAAAGGACGAAGTGACAGCTCAGGTCCCCCCGTAATTCCCTGTCTTCCTGGCCCTCCACTTCTCCGAAATAGAAGCTGGGATTTTATCGGTATCGGTCACATGCAACTTTAGATGGCCATGGTGACATTCTACTCCGTACGGGGCAGAGAGGCTCACTCCCAGAGTATCACTCAGACGGCACTCCCTTCATGTGTCTCCCCGGCCACCTCTGCCGATGACGAATTCGGGACACCTCCCTCTGCCTGCTCCCCCAGGGCGCGGCCGGTCGCGCTGGCCTTCCCCAAGGGCTCCGCCGCCCCAGAGGTTCTCCTCTGCCCTCTGCCCCCACCCCTGCCCTTCGAGAGTCAGGCTGAGGATGACCTGCTCCTAGTAAGACCAGCTGTGTCACTTTGGGCAACTTACTTAACCTCTCTGAGGCTCAGTTTCCTCGCCTGCTGAAGAGCAGTGATAACAATTCCCTGCATGGTGGGGTCAGGTGAGGTTAAAATAGATGGCGCACCCTAAAACGCCGTCTGCTCACACGTAGTATTACACGGGTTAGCTACTATTATGTGTTGACAACAAAACACACGGAATGGGACCCACCAAACGGAAATCACCTTTACCAGTCGAGAGCAGAGGAGTAAACGTGATTATAGAACTGGTTCTTGTAAACCAGTAAGAACCCTCGTCTCCCGAATGGCCGTGTTTCTAAATACAGGGTGCAAGACAACGGAGAAGGTGGAACACCTTGAGGCTATTTGAACAAGCGTTCATTCACTGTGCACTGAGCGCACTGAGCGCCGCCGTGTGCCCAGCCCTGTGTGGGCTGCGGACCTCCCGCAGCGAACAGGGCTGATGCGGGCCTGGCTTTCCTGTAGTGCACCATGGAGCAGGGACGGGTGTGCATAAGCAAATCACTAGACAAGTTACTTAAAGACGCTTGCGGGGAGAACTAGGGAGAAAGCCGAGGGTGGACAAGAGAACAGAACGTGAAGAGTATGCCGTGCCCTGGTCTGGGGTTCCAGGACGGCTTACCCAAGGAGGTGGTGCTGAGGGGGAGCAATACAGAATATGAGGCTGGATAGGAGGCTGGGCAGAGGGACCCCTGGCGTTGCAAAGGCACAGAGCTAGCAAGAGTACTGAGTATGGGGGGGGCGGGGGGAGTCAGGCAGGAGCTTAGGGAAGAGCCATGCCCTGCAGGCTCAGTGAACTCCTGAGGACCATCACTGTCATCCTGGTGAAAGAATCATCCCAGGGTTTCAGTCACGGGAGAGACGGGATCAGACTTGCTTTTTGAAGTCACCGTTTCGGACACAGCATAGAGAACGGGTTGGAAAGAAGCAAGCGCAGATGCTGAAAGCCTGGCTAAGGGGCGCTCTCAGGGGTCCCCCCTAAACTGCTGCGGCACGATCAGGGTGGTGCCAGCCGACAGAGAAGTGGGGCGCTGTGGGTTCCGCATTCCAGAGGGAGTCAAAGGGCGTCTCTAACAGGTGGGCTGGGGCGGGTGCGGACGGGCAGAAGAGGCCTCAAGCTGACCCCTGACACCTTGCATGGAAACGAGGTGGCTGCGTGGGCGGCAGTTTACTGATTCAGAGGACGCTGCCTCTTCCTCCGTGGTGTGAAAATCATTCATACGTTATCAGACAGCCTGTTTGTCCAAACATTTTGCTGTCCTATCGGTTTGGAGCTCACTCCGTACTTGATGTCAGTGCAGGAGATGCAGCTGGGGGACGAGGTTGGTGGGGGTGCCGGGGACACCTAAGCAGAGGAGACCTGGGGTGTGGTGTGTCTGATGTTTGATGGCCAGGGGACCGCCCGTCATGTCTCAGTCTACACATGGAACTGGAGGTGTGTAGGCAGCTGAAATCCTCTTAGACAGAGAGTGTGGGAGCAGCAGTCCCAGACTGAGCCTGAGCCGCTCCAGGGCCAGGCCGAGCAGGGACACTGACAAATGAGACCAAGAAGGGGCCATGGGTCCAAGAAACACAGCTCGTCACTGATCAAAGGCTTGAGAAACCACGTCAGCATTCCGTATGGAGACAAATGGCTTCGTGCATGGCTTCTGATGGAGCAATTTGGAGTAGCTTTTCCTGGCGGCAATTGGACAAGGTGTACCCAGAGTTCAAAATGATTTATACTCTTTGACCCAGTAAGTTTAGGTCTAAGAACGAATAAGGAACGTGCGTCCGCATTATGTATAAATGTAGTTAGTTGTAATAGTAAGACATTCACACCAACCTGGATCACCCATAATATAGAAAAGATTTTAAATTGGTAAAATACGTACAAGCTGAAACATTATGTAGTCTTTCAAAATCACGGCAAAGCTAAACATGTTAGGAAAAGGCATCCGATCAAGCGGAGTATACGGCGTCATCGCTGATTTTCGCTGTAGGTAGGATGAGAAGGAGATGCCTCCAAAATGTTAACAGCGGCTATCTCTTCAAAGGAAAACAGAATTAGGAAGGTTTTTCAATCAGATTTTCCATTTTTAGGCAGTTCATCTGAAAATTCAATTTCCCTAGCACAGCCCATTCCCAGACAGCCCGGACTGTACTGTAACGAGCACTTACCCGCTCCCCTGAGAAGCTTCCCGCACTCCGCCGTGGCCAAGCCGGAGGAGGGCAGCTACTTCCAGAGACATCGCGACCATACAAGTCCAAGAACCGCGTGTCCCGTAGGTGTGCAGGGCTGTCATTTGTGTCAACACAGGGCTTCGTTAATCCGCTGGGTTAGAGTGTCTGCATTTCACCCGAGAGGAGCCGGAGGGAGCCGGCCTCCTGCCCGTCGCTTTTGCTCAGACAGTTCCCTCTGGGTGCCCCGTGCCCGACAAACTCCTCTTTATCCCTGAAGGCCCAGTTCAGAGGTCACCTCCTCCGGCTCCCAGGAAGAGAGTTCCCCCTTCTCCTTCCTTCTGCCTTTTGCAAGCTGTCCACACGTCATGACCACGCTCAAGGTGTTGCTGCAATGATCTGTTTCGAAACGTCTTTCTCCTTAAAGGAAGCTCTGTAGGTGGGTGTTCCGGTCACCTTTCAACCCGAACGCCAGCACGGGGCCTGCCACACGGTAGGGACTTACCGCTGGAGGGAGAGAGCAGGTGGGCAGAGAGGCCGCCCCAGCGAACTCAGTGGTGTCCAGGTCTAGTAAGCGGCGGAGCTCACTTGAAAAAATGGGGTGCGCTGCTCAGGGTAGAGGGGAAGCCAGTGCACACCAGGCACGTTGGGGGTGGGGGTTGTGGCGGAGGGGACCATATATGCCGCTGATTTGAAGGACTGAGCTAGAAATAAAGATTTAGACTTCCTATTTAGATTCATAGCACGAAGAACATCCTACAATATCTACCTTGAAGAGAAAAATGGGTTTTACATTTCTCAAACTGACCAAATTGCTAAGCACCTGGGGTATCATCTATTCTGTTTAGCTAAACAATTTACTTTCTAAGTGTGTGCTGTTGCCCACGAGGCCTTCTGCACGCTGAGCATCATCCACAGGCTTCTCGGACCCCCTTCCGCTCTCCTGTTGCCTCTTCAGGCCGGGCGTCTCCGGTGCTGAACCACGGTGACCCACGAGGGTACAGCAACAGTAGTGATAGCAGCGTTCACAGGTAGCGTCTACTTCATCCTTTTAAATGTTTGTGTTTGGCACATATTTAAAGATGTACGTAATATATTAGTAAAACACACAAAATGTATGTACTGTCCATGGATGTCTCCGTGTGCATGCACGCGTGTGTGTGTGTGTGTGTGTATGTGTGTGTGTGTGAAGAGGATTGTAAGTTTTCGAATCCACAGCTTTAGGCCAGTGCTCATCAAACTTTAATGTGCAGATTCGTGGGATCCTATGAAAATGCCAGTTCGGATTCAGAGGGTGCAGGCTGCATGCTGAGAATCTGGGCTTCTACGAAGCTCCCAGGTGAGGGGAGGCTGAGGCCGGAGGAGGCCTTTGGTCATCACAGTTCCTCGCCCGAGCCACAGCACAGGACCAGAGGACGGTGTCGGGGACTGTGCCCATCTCCCCCACAGATGGCCACAGCTACCACACTCCCGATGCTGGGAGAGAAGGGAGCTCATTCCGAGAAGAGGAAGGTGTGGGGGCTGGTCGGGCTGATTTCTCCATAGAACTCTGTGGGGAGGGGCCTCTGCGGAGCTTGCTGGGCACCGGACTTGAACTGTGGAAGAAAGTTCAAGGCCACTAGCTGACTTTATTATTTTTTTTAAAGAGCACTGTTTATAAATCACCGTACAGCATTCAAGCAGCCCTGTGGGCAGCAGTTCTTTTCCAGTGCTTGGCCTATACTGGAAACTTCCTCTATGAGAGGCACAGCTGGAACCCAGGTCTTGGACATTCCCAACTGTCAAAGATCCTGTGATGCTATGTTAAGAGTGCTGAGTCAGGCATTTCTGGCTAATGAGAGCTGCCGCCACACACCCTCACCCTGATGGGACACTGGTGTTGGGGGTCAATGGGTCACAAATCCTCCCTGAGCAAAGAAGAGCAGAAAAATGAAACACACACACACATAGTCCTTGATGAATGTTTGTGAGTGAACACACACACACACACACACACACACACACAAGTTATGATGAAAAAAAAATGATTCTCTTAATTCACAAAATATACCCAGCGAGTCATGTTTGACCTAGTACAACTTTCCAAAGACTACTCTGGTCTAATTTGAACCACATGCCTTAGCCTAATTTCCGAGCCAGGTTGTGTTGCAAATACGTTTCCAAATATCGACATCTTCTCTACGGTGTAACGGGTGTCCGTGAAGAGTGACGTCTATTCAATTAGAAAGATGCTTCCCCTGAATCTGGGTCCACAGTCCACACAAATACAATGCAAGCCCCGCAGGACTCCGCCTCTAACCACCTTGACATCTAAGCGAGGTCAGAAGTTCATGTTTAACAAACACAATGGAGAGGATGGAAGAGGAAATTCCAAGGGGCCATTAAATTGGCCACTTGAGACGAGTTGGCCCCTGAATGAAACCTAGTTGGTCAATTCTTAATGTTCTGTCTTGGATTTATTTCATCCCTATTTTCAGCCAAGAGATCCAGTTTTCAGGAGGTGAAGTTGAGACCCTGGTTGAAAGACCTGGGTAGTGTCCTCTTGTTTGTTCTGTGTATCATCGCCTGTTTCCTCTTGATCTTTGCTTAAAAGAACTTAAGAAATAAAAAGGCCAAAAACCTGTTTGGATTGTGGGGAAAGACCAGGTGTTCAGGTAAGAAGAGAATGCCTTGCACCATAAGTCAAGCTTTGGGGACCAGAATCGGTGGGTGTGGAGAGGACCTTTAAGGAGGAAAGAAATGCCACTTTGCCTCCACTCCCTTGGTGGCTGTGTGGTGACCCTTCAGCCCACGGGAATAAGTCCTCGCCCACCAGTGCATTCCATCAGAGTCAGTCACAGCTCAGTGAGTGGGCACGTTTTATTCCTCATCGTGTTCGACACCTGGTAGTAGCTCAGACTATTGCTCCAGTCTTCGATGCTGTAGAAGCCTATAGCTGCCTCTCCGGCTCCTTCTCAGAGCCATTTTAGGTGCCTCCTCCTCTTTCAGCCCTTTAAAAGGCATGTTTCCAAGTCCCCATACTCCAAACTATTGTCTTCTCTTTACACACACTGCTGTACCCACCCCCTCATCTGGAGATGCCACCTTCGGGAGGCCTGGACCTTGGGTCTCCATCGCAGGTCTCCCTTGTCACAGCCAGACCAACAGCCAAGGAACTATGGTCTCCCAGGGGACCTCCCACAGCTTCACTTCATTATCCACTGCCCAGGTCACCTCCCCTCCCTTGTAGACCCTCAGGCACTTCAAATTACTGAGCACCCCTCGTTTACCTCAATATCCCTGACCCCTCTCCCTTCCCACTACCACTGCCTTGACCTACATGCACATTCGTTCTTCAGTGACTGCAACAGCCTCACAGTCAGGTCCCTGTCTCAAGTCACCCTCCTTCTGAAGCATCCCCACAGTGCACCTCAGCAATCTCCCTAAACCACTCCTCAGCTGCCGGCATCAGTGGTCCCCTTATCTACAGACCAGAGCCTCCGCTCTGCCCTTATGGACATGGACAAGGCCCTCCCGGAGCTCACCCCACCTACTTTTTAGCCGTGGTACCTGCCCCTCTGCACACAGCCTGCTACCTGCTGAATGACTGGCCGTGGCCCAAATGAATTGGTCCTCCATTGACTGATTCAAGGCCTCTAAACATTCCAGGCCCTCTTCTGGAAAGCCCGGCCCCTTTCTCCACCTGCCTCCTCAGCTCCCTCTTTTGAGACACTGCACATTCTAGGTGGGTGCTTTGTCCACGTGTTCCTGCGGGTTAGGTGCTTTCCTGTGTGCTCCAGTGTGTTTATCTCAATGTAGCGGTTTTGTTGTTTACTTGTCCAGATCTCATTTCAATAACTGTCAAATTAAAAACTACCATTAGTTGGGAATGTACACCTCACCAACACTGTGTTGGCATTTCATATAACTCAAAACTTCAGAGGAACTCGTAAAACTTGTAAAAATAAAGAAGCAGAGGCTCAGATACGTTAGCGAGTTCACCTAAGGTTCTACAACTAGTCAATAGTGGTGACAGTATTTAAGTCCTGGTCTATGTGACTCAAAAGCCAGTTCTTTATCCATCACACCCCACTGCCTCCCATTGGAATGTGAGCCAACTTATCTCATCTTGTGTATGCCAATGCCTGGGCTCTAGCAGGGGCTCAATGTCTGAGGATGGATGGATGGATGGATGGATGGATGGATGGACGGATGGACGGATGGATGGAAGTAAAGGGAGCTTAGAATATTCTAGTTCTGGGAAAGCAGCCTTGGGTCTCCAAAAGAATGCTCTACGTGTTGAGTGTATTGATGAGCTAATAGCATCCCACAGCACACATTACTGTTTAGTGACGAAGACACAGGCGTCATCATGCCTGCAAAGTCGGGGTCCCTGACAGCGAGTCAGCATTGTGCCACACTGCTGTCAACTCTCTCCTTGAACCTGCCCTGTTCCCATATTATTTATTTCCATGCGTGTCTCCATGGTCACCCAAGCCAGGTGCTAAGGTCTGCCTCTTCTCCCCTCCCATTATGACCACGGTCACAGAGTGTTCAGTCTATCGCCCAGATAATTCTTGTTTCCGTCCCCCGCTCCGCGGCCCTTTCATGGCTTCACTCTGCTCGCTGCCCCCTGTTTCTCTCTTGATCCCCCCCCGATCTGACTGCCTTCTACAGCCAGTCTCTCTAAGTGCATATATACCTTTTCCAAAATGAGAACTTGTCCGTGTCTGTTGCCTGCATCCTCCCTCAAACTGCTCTTCATTTCTTCCATGATGAAGTCTCACCAACGTCCCGATGTCCCGTGTCCTAGGCTCTGGCCCCTGGCTACCATTTCGGTCGTATCTCTGGATGTTCTCCTCTCCATTGTCCACCTTCAGTGGTGATGAGCTGCTTTCACATCTGCACACACTGCACGCTGCCCCCACCTTTGCACCCCCTTTCCTCCCCATGTCTGCCTGGGAAGTCCACCCTAGTGTCAGACCCCTCGGTTGCCCTGTGTTTCTTCCCATGGCTAACTCCTCCACTGCAGGTTCTTTTAAGACACCGACTCTCCTTTAGCACTAAAGTGTGACATCTTAGCACAACATCATCATTTTCTCTCTTGTTTTTCCTTTATTGATTTTAGAGAGAGAGGAAGGGAGAGGGAGAGAGATAGAAACATCGATGAGAGAGAACATCGATTGGCCACCTCCTGCATTCCCCCTACTGGGGATCAGACCCACAACCTGGACATGTGCCCTGACCGGGAATTGAATTGGTGACCTCTTGGTGCATGGGTCAACGCTCAACCAGTGAGCCATACCGGCTGGGCTACTATTCTCTTAATGTACCTGTTTCCCCTTCCATGGGGCAAGTTCTTTGAAGGCAGGATTGGGCCATGTGCATATTTGTACCCA